CCCTCGGTATGGGTCGCCCTCTTATTTACACTTGAAAGTTTAGCAGAGCTTTGCCCTTCTTGAGTGGACTCCTTGCAAGTAGCGCTGAGTTCTCGGAGGCGCATTCTAGTCCCACACGGGCTGCTTCCTCCGCCACTATGTCTGCACCTTGTTGTATGCCTTTTCCATCCATGGCGGTGGGGCATTAGTCCATAGGGTAATATCGTCCGGATACATTGCACGCTTGAGATATGGGACTTGCTTCAGTCGTTGAGATATTTGAGATATGGGTATCATAGCTAGGTTAAAAAGGAGAGGGGAGAGGACAGCGCTCTGTGGTGTGCCTCTTCCTTGATATATGGCAAAGGGGTCCGACACGTGATCTCCCAGCTTGATTTGTACAGTTCTATCCTTAAGAAAGGACTTCACGTAGTTGTATGCTTTTTCGCCTAGACTGAGACGTGACATCTGTTCTAGGATAGCCGAATCTGCTACCCTCTCAAACGCTTTACGTAAGTCCAGCGCTGCTACTGCTTGCCAGCGGGCTTCTCTAGAGTGATAGTCTTTGTGAAGTTGTAGAAAGATGCCCTGTGTCGATAGATGGTTTCGGAAGCCATACATCTGGTGCGGGAATAGTCCTTGCTGTTCCATGTGTTCCTGAAGGCGTCGCTGTATGACTCGTTCTATGAGCTTTCCAACACATGATGTCAAAGATATAGGCCTCAGGTTCGTGAGGGCCAGTTGTTTACCCGGTTTCGGAATAAAGCATACTACTGCGTGTCTCCCACTAGGAGGGACCTTTCCCGTCTCCCATATACCATTGAAATATTCTGTGATGGCCGTGACAGATTCATCGTCCAGCTTCCGAAGAGCTTTGTTGCTGACCTTGTCTGCCCCGGGTGCCGATTTAGGCCTAAGGGTTTGCATGGCAGCTCTTACTTCACTTTCCTCGATTGGACGGTCGATGTCTGGATTGTCTTTTCCTGAGTAGACTCGGCTGGTGCGCTTGATCTCCTGCAATCCTGGGTGCTTGGAGGTATGTCTCTTTGAGTGTTTCACAGATGGTATCTTCATCGTCGGGTGTGTCCCTTGCGTATCTTTGTAAGGGCTTTACATTTTTCTGTTTTTGTGTTTGCTGGGTCTAGTAGATACCGGTACAAGTCCCATGGGCTCTTGGTATGAAGTTGACCCTTGAGCTCATCGCATGTTTGCCTCCAGTATCGTTCATTCAGGTATTTTGCATGTTCCTCTACATCTCGAAATAGTCGCACCGCTTTTTTTTGCAGTTTCTTGTGTATTTTGCCACTATCTTTCCATATTCGGTACAGTGAGTAGGATGCTTCAACCATGTTTTGCAATCTGGTGTCCATTGTTCTCGCTTGCGTTGGGTTGGGCGTGTCCCTCGTGGCTTCCCTCTGGTCTTCGGTAACTTGCTTTGCCCACTGTTCTATCAAAGTTATGGGTCCTCGACCTCTTCGCATTTCTCGAAAGGCGTCCGAATCCGTAACAGAGCATGTTGGAGGTTTTCCTTGTCCTTCTAGCTGAGTTCCCATTGTAATTTCCAGTATGAAGTAGTCACTGCTCAAGTTTTCTCCAGTGTTTCGCCAGTTTGCCTCTGCGATGTTAACCATGAAGGCTAGGTCAGGGTTGGTGTCTCTGTTTACACTATTACCCATCCTCGTTGGGTTCGTTACGTCGTTTAGGAGTACCATGTCTCTTAACGTGACTTGCCTATTTATAGCCATGCCCTTCTTGGAGTCTGTCTTGTATCCTCAGGTAGTGATGTAAGCGTTGAAGTCTTTTAAGATGATTATCGGATTGCTAATGGCAATTTGTGCTACCTCCGTGAAGACATCCGCAACTCTGTCCGTATGGTTCTTGGGTGGAGAGTATGTGTTGCACACGAAGAGGCTTTCATGCTTTTTCCTTCTTGGCAAGAGTTCAACATCCGATACAAAAAGCACTGTCACTCGCTTTGTGTATCAGATTCCCAGCGATATCTCTTCAGCACTGTCATTCATTATCGCTTTGTGTATCGCAAGGCCGAATGAAAGTTGAAATGTTTCGTGCACGAATGGCCCGTAGTCCTTGATGACGCGTCACCGGAACCACGTTGGGGCTCCAGCGAAGAACGTGCATCGCGCGGTTTTTGAGAAATAGTGAAACATCATAAGTGCGAAATAAAGTTCGTTTGTTCGCACGCCCCTATTCTTTATGAAAAAAAAAAAAGCTGCAACAGAGTGACGCGGATGCCTCGGTTTTTATGAGCAATGCGCATGTTTTCGTGAGAGGTTATCAGTCGATTTTTAAAAAGCGAAGAATTGCTTGCTGACGCTCTCTTTGGTAACCACCGATATGCCAGGCGTATGAATTCCGGAGCTAAATAAATTCATCACCCTGTCTGAGCAGGGCTTGTCGCAAAGTGCTACAGCCAGGTTAATCGGCCGCCCGGTGTTGACCGGGCGGCAGTGGGGCGACTGTGCGGCGACAGAAAAGCACCCCGAGTGACGGCGCTTACAGCGCGCCACCGGCGAAACGCGGAAGTCCCAGACGCCCCGCGCGAGGGTTGAAGAGCAACAAAATGGTGAGTTGGGCCAGTTGGTTCATAATGGAAAAAGACAAGCGCCGAAAGACCAGGACAAGGCAAGAAGACGACGACGTCGTCGTCTTCTTGCCTTGTCCTGGTCTTTCGGCGCTTGTCTTTTTCCATGAGGGTTGAAGACATCTTAGTAGGACCTTCACCCTTGCACCCAGGTGCATTTTCTTTAGTTCTCGAAGGCCCACCAGGTGGAGCAGCCTGTATCGATGGCCACGCGTTCCGGCCTTCGGGTTTCATTCCGTGCTGACTGTACATGCGTGGGCTGCTGGTATCATCAGGTGAATGGGTGTCCGATGGGAAGCCCGGTGTCTGTCTGTGTTGCCAATCTTGTTATGAAGCATAATGAGGAGAAAGTGCAGAAAAAAGTTGCGTTCCCGGTCAAATTTTACCACCGATATGTGGATGACACTTTCGTCATTTCAGATAAAAGTCATGCTAACGATTTTCACCGAGAGTTAAACAGTGTTCACCCCGCGATACAGTTTTCTTGCAAGGCAGAAGAGCAAGGCACGTTGCCCTTGCTAGATGTATGTGTAATGAGGACAGGCGATCTGAACCACAGGATTGAAGCAGGTGTGTACCGCAAACCATGTGAAACAGATATTTTTTATTTTATGTTCCATCACCCATTGCAACACAAGAAATCAATAGTGCGATCGTTTGTACGCATATCAAATACCGTGCCATCTAACGCGCTCCATGGCGCAAATGAGATCACTGATTTACAGGAAGCTTTAAAGAAACGTCGCAACACAAAGCGTTTTGTTGACGAGGTCAACAATCAAATGAAACAAAATGTGTAACCATACGAAAGGAAAAAGATAAGAATGCAGTGTGCATACCCTATGTCAAAGGAGTCTCCGAACCTCCCAGTCGCGCTTTGAGGCCCCTTGGCGTTTGAACTGTGTTCAAGCCACACAGGACTATTGTGATTTCCGTTTCCAAATCAAAGGACCCAGCCCCGGCGAACGTCCAGAGAGGCGTTATCTACAAGATCCCCTGCAGTGAGTGCTTAGCGTCCTACATTGATGAAAACAAAAAAAAACATTGGCGAAGGTCGGCAGTACTCGTGAGAAGACATGTGGCACGGTACTCCCGCCCCCTTCCGAGTGCTCGATTAGTGCACGCAGCTCAGGATTGTCCCGTTGACACCGTGACATGTCGTCGGTGTTCACTGCTCCTAGGAAGCATTCGTCGTCATTGTCGTCGCTGCAGCCGGAAGGGGTTTCGACGAGGGCTCTGGACAGACAGTCGGCGTCGCTGTGCTTGTGGCCTGACTTGTAGACCACAGTCATGTTGAACTCTTGTAGTTGGAGAATTCATCGAGCGAGGCGTCCTGACGGGCCCTTGCGGTTCGCAAGCCAGCAAAGCGAGTGGTGGTCCGACACCACGCGGAACGGGCTTCCGTACAAGTACGGACGAAACTTCGTGATTGCCCAGACGACCGCAAGGCATTCTTTCTCAGTCGTGGAGTAAGATTTCTCCGCCTGGGACAGTGTCCGACTTGCGTAGGCGATGACTCGCTCGATGCCTTCTTGCACTTGGACCAGTACTGCGCCCAGTCGCGCGTTACTTGCGTCCATGTGAATCTCAGTTCCGCATCCTGATCAAAATGTCCAAGCACAGGAGGAGTCTGGAGTCGTCATTTAAACTTGTCGAATGCCTGCTGCTGCTCCTCGGGCCATTCGAACTTCTCGGCGTCTTTCGTGAGGTTTGTGAGCGGTGCGGAAATTTTAGCGAAATCCCGAACAAAACTTTGATGCTAGGCGCAAAGTCCAAGGAATCTTCGCGCGGCCTTCTTGTCTGTCGGCGCTGGAAATGCCGCGATGGCGCGAGTCTTCTCGGGGTCTGGGCGGACGCCTTTGTTACTAACCACGCGGCCTAGGAAGTTCAGTTCGTCATAGTCGAACCGGCACTTTGACGGCTTGAGTGTGAGTCCGCCCTATCGAAAAGACCATCACGAAAATCCTGATGGTCTGATGGTCTGATGGAGTCGTCATTTGGGACGTCTGATGGTCTGTTGGCCTGATGGTCTGTTGGCTTGATGGTCTGTTGGCCTGATGGTTTGATGGTCTGCTGGCCTGATGGTTTGATGGTCTGTTGGCCTGATGGTTTGATGGTCTGGTCTGATGGTCGAATGACCTGTTGTATTTTGAGACGCCTATTTTTTACGGTTTGATTATGGTGGTTTCATGGCTAATTTGAAACTGTTCGAGTTGGCCACAACTTAAAAAAACACAACAATATGTGAATCCATAATGTGGAAACTTAATTATGTCATGCCTGGAGCATGACGAGGAGCATATCCCACTTAGAATTTAATTATATTGTCCACACACACTGGTAATCGCCAGCCCGACATTTGAGTACGGCAATTGCAGCTACTAATAAGAATAAAGTCAAACAAGCTGCATTGCTTTGATATTTTTATTATGAAGTTATGAAATCATATATAGTTTCGCTGGGCAGAATGGCTAGGTGGAACAGAAAACCAGAAACATTTGAGGAAGTACTATTGTGACCAATATTAGTTGAAGCGCCATGACGCATGGCGTGTGGTACTATCAGAGCCACCTGTCGGATTTTCAGTGAGCCTCTGTGTTTGCTGAGTTTTAGGCAGGTTGCTTCTTGCACTCATTGTGCCACTATGAGCTGGAAATCGGCACGGAACGGCATAGTGGTGCAACGAGCACAAGAAGTGATTTGTTTCTACCTCAGCGCACAGCAACGTTTGCTTAACAATCTGAGAGACAACTCTCATCGCGTGCCACGTGCAGTGGCGTTTCAGCTCATATTGGCTGCGATAGTACATTTGTTCAATTTCAATAGTATTGGCAACATATAAATTAAGCTAAATTAATATAAAGAAAAAGGTAAAAAGGCTACAAGATGGGGTGCAAGCGGTGGCAGACCTGCAACAGCATAGGCAGTCTGTGGTGGGACCACGCATCGGGGGAGGACAGGCAGCAAAGGGATGAGCCTGGACATATCAAGGGCAATTCAGAGATCAGCAATGAGTCCAAACACAGGACGACCATTGACATACGTAAACAGCAGAGTGGGCCTAGAAACGACTAAGGGGCAGTGAGAGTGACGTGCTTCATTGCAATTGTGTGACCATGCAACTTTTTGGAGAGTGACCGAGCACGGCCTGATGGGATGGCAGTAGCGACCAAGCAACCCAAAGCCTTTTTCAAGTGGTCGGCTGATCAACACACTACTTTAAATTTGTTTGCATAAACATTTAGATATATTAACCTCTAAATAATTTACCTATACCATCATTTAAAATAATTGCTAGTAAACTTGAGACCCAAAATAGTATATTACTTAATTAGGGAAGTTAGAGTATAGATGCACATACCTTTGTAGTGATTTCTCTTGAGATAGGACAGCTTTTCTGACAGGTACCGCAGTATCTTCTGGTGCCGGGCTGCCCTTTCAGCCTGGCGGTACCTTTCTCCCTCAGGTGTAGTCAAAAGCAGCCTGGAATATTGAAAATTTATGGTAATCATTTTTTGCAGTGCTCAGACTTAAAACAATATAGAACGTCATAAATACAGGCTGGAGGGTCATAGTTTGAGAAGACCAAGGGTAAATTAGTCTCAAACAAAAGCAGTTAAGTGGCAGCTGGCACCTAACAAACCTTCAACGTTTCTTAGTATTTACAGTGGTCAGAGATTACCATAAAAACAAAAGTACCGCAGTATCCTGATTTATGTTCCAGTCCCAATAGACAGCTCACCCTGGCTTCTGTTAGGTTCTTTTAAGCACAAAACAGGTAGCCCATGTCTATAAATCTCACTGCTAGGCTAGTGACTTTGTAAGAAATAGGAAGGAGCTACAACTGTAGATAAGTAGACAATGTACGTTGGAAACTGCTTATACTTGGTTATCATCCCTCGCTATGGCAACAGCTTAGACACGCCACAGAATTAAAAAATAGCATCATGAGCGCCAGAAAGAACAATGCAGTTCTATAAAAAAAATCTTTCACATTCCTTAAAAGATCTTCCATTCATGGCCTGGCTCTAAATTTAAAGGTAATTAAACAGTCTTTCATTGTGCACCTGCTGGAGGCCTCCGAAGCTTCATTGGGAGGTAATCTAGCAATGTTGGGGATCTTGGACGTAGTCGTGACATGGCAAAAACCGCTATGTAGCTGCACTCCACATCGGAGCAGCGCCCCTCTTTGGAGGTATACTCAACTGTTGGAGTAATCTCGCCCTGAACGCGATGACCTTGACATTACTTATCTCACACACAGGTGCTTAGATGGCTTAGTCCGCTTTGGTCCACGTAAAGCCCACAGGTGTTTCAAATGGCTAGGCTGTAACACGTCTACACCACCACTATGCACCCGAACGGCACAGCTCGTAGCCACGCCAGCTTTGCCGGATAGCCCACGACGCATCGAGCTCTCCGTTGAGTTCTTTTCGAGCACTTGCTCAAGTTTGTTGCTTAGAACGAAAAATAAAATTATCTGTTCAAAATACACATGTTATGTCTGTTATGATTGACTCATTCTTGGCGGGGTACCCCCATCACACATCCAGGTGTTAGCAGACAACCTACTAGAGTAAAATCTCGGTGATACTAACTGGTACGAATTTCGGAATAAAACAAATTCGCAAATTCCCCGGCCGAAGTGCATTGTATACGACGTGAAAATTTTTGGGTGTTCCGAATAGCTCTACGCGCTGCGACAACTGATACGAATGCGTGCTCCACAACTGATAGTGGCAAGGAGGCCACGATCGGCGACTGTAAGCTTTCAAGGCTCCGGGCGGCTGATTGCCTGTTGCTGCCAGGGATCAGCCGCACTTTACCCAAAAACTGGAGCTCAAAATTACATGCATGTTACAATTGTACCCAAAAACCAAAACTAAACAAAATGGTAAAAAAAAACTGTGCAAGGTGGCCAGCCCCATCACTATCAACACATGTTTCAAATCCAATCCAATCTGAATACAAAATTGCTTTTTTTTTTGTTTTTGCGATTTCGTGGAATGGTGTTTCTGCCTTGGAAAAGCAAAACCGATTTTACTATAAGGTTACCTCTAAAAAACAAAGTAACAGCGTTGGCAAAAACAGGAAACCGAGTGATGTTGGTGGCGTCTTCGGTGTGGTCCACGGTGACATGCGAGCTTGGTTGGAAAGACAAAGAAACCGAATTTTTTCTTGCAAGTTTTTGATGTAGGGCTTCAACAGCACATAGTGTGGGCACTTTCCGAGTATGTGCATTTGATATAATGTTTTCCACAAAGTGTATGTTGTTCAGGCGTCATTATTTTATCTGCGCAGAAGGATCGACATTTATCTGCGCAGTGGAATCGACATTAATTCATTTTTTCATCATTTGTGGGTTGATTATAACCGTGTGTTACTATCGGAGGCGTGTTAGAATCGTGTAAATTGCATACAATATATTTTCTGTCATAAATAAATGCACATTCATGCATTCCTTGTGTTTCAAAATATAAATTTTGTTTCGCTTTCGTTGATACGAATTTAGCATGAAATATTTTACGCGACTCCGCGAGATTCATATCAAGATTTTAAAAATGTTTGCTTAATGGGAGAGCCTGCACCTTGCGCTGAGTGAGTGGGGCAAACGCCCTCTATTGCCTCGCTGCCTTTGCCTTGTTGGAGAGGGTGCCGGTCACCGACCTCTCCAAAAGCACTTCCACTCACCCTATGGAAGCAGCAGTGATCTTGCAAAACATGGAGTCGCACTCTGCTTTCCGCATGTTGCCCGGATTCCTGGTTGACGTGCACACCTTGCCCGACATGGATCTGTTATAAACGAAAGCGAGAATCAGCTTCACATATACCAGTCGTTGATGCAGAGTGGTACTGTATACTCCAAGATGCATCGAAAATGCACTAAAATGATTACATTAATGAAATTTACGCCTTTAAATTTAAGACAGCACTACCCATGAATTCCTATCTTCATGGGCGTCTGCAAAGCTGATGGGCCTACAAAGCTTCATGGCATTTGCATGAAACAGGTACATAATCCCTTAGTTGCATCAAGTGAGCATGACAATAGAATGTTTTCCAGGCCCTGGCTATAAGTACAATTAAGAGCCTGGCTAGAATAATGTTTTAATAACTTCTTGTTACAATCGATTCAATCTACTGTGCTTACACTATCTCAGGAGTGGCCAAACTGAGGCTCGCGAGCCGCACGCGGCTCTTTGCGGGTCCAAGTGCAGCTCACGGCTCCCTGGAAAACGTGTCCCCTAGATGAAAAGGGTTCTAGAATTTAGAAAAAGCTACAAGTCTTGGCGGCCTGGCAACACACTACATATATACACCTGGAATGCTTTTTGCCACATAGATGCGTCGAGCGACCCTGTTTCCTTTATTGTTCTAGAAAGACTTTCAACCATATACGCATAACAGTTGTCAGGGGCAGTGACTGGCTAGTGAATCGCGTATTAATTTTTGCTTAGCAGTGGAAAGGACCTCCTGATGCATAGTGTCATTTGTTGTTATCGCCCATTATACTTGTCCTCTATGGAATTAACTGTTCCCTCCATATTGTTTCTTGTTAAAAGTAGCCCCCCCCCTTTCTTTTTTCCAGCGACTCTAAACTTTCGTAGTTTTGTCTGCAGCTCTAACTCCATGTCACTCTGGCCACCCCTGCACTATCTTAAACTCTTTTAATCTATAATATACACTGAATGAAAGTGAAAAGTTTTTTTTTTTATTTTACCATTCCATCCTTATTCTGGAGGCCGATGCTAGGATCCACGATCTCATTCTTCGCAAGGATGTCCTCGTGAGCAACTGAAAAAAACAATTTCACATTAAAGAGGTACGGAAACCAAATTCCAGCGCTAATTTTATCGCTTTAATGAGTTGCATGTTTCAACATAACCTCAAAAATACCAGTCCTTCGCTGAAGGGCACAAGCAAACTAATTTTAAAGCTAATCAAACAATCTTTCAATGTGCACCTGGTGGATGCATGTGGAGCCTATTTGGGAGGTAATCTAGCAACTTTGGGGAACTTGCTACGTAGTCATGACATAGGAAGGACATTCCTCGGTCATCCTGCTCAGCAACAGAGCGCAGCCACAACAGTAGAGTAGAGAGCTCTTTGCCGTTTATGCCTTCTCTCTCAGCATTATTGTTTCCACCCTTTATGAATGAATATCGCCTATGCAATATATAAGCGATGTGTTGCACATGACATGTTGGGCTCTATCACCGCACAGCAAACTTCTTTCATATACTGCAGGTTCATTAAAAAAGTTACCTTTTCAATGCTAGAGCATGGGTTCTGTTAGTACGGTAAACATACGAGTACCCACATGTCAGGCCATAGATGACTTACGTGTTAGGCAGTAGAGCCCTACAGCACCTCCCGCATCAACAGCCGAGCCGCAGGCAGTCCTGCAATTGATAGTGCAGGGTAAGTCAGAGAAAGGTGTTTCTAGCAGCTCTGCCGGTGTGCCCTCTAGCAGCATTACTCACGCACATTTGGGTGTAGGCAGAAAGCATGGCATTCCTCATTAACAAATCATGACAACACATTGTTGCCGGCATCAAGCTGGATCCCTGTGCTATTTTTCTTTTTTTGTGTGATTTAGTTGATTCTTTGTCTTCCTTGTCACTCCTGACTGCTTTACTGGCCTTTGTGAAATAAAGAAGGCTTGGTAAACTGCAAAGCCTTGACTGAGTGGTGAAACAGAGCAATCCCAAGGAAGTATAAATGTTAAGGACACGACAAGACATTACGCAGTGTTGGGATTCTCAAGCTGCTTTCCACACTCACATTTGGTGCACGACCAGCTCTTTTTCTGCCTCAGTTGGACCGGAGAGTTGTGTGCCCGTTTCGGTCGCTGCTAGCCATATGTGGCTGGCGCTGCTTTTGAGAGCCTTGCAACATCGTCACTTTCAGCTTTTGTTCTGACATAAACCGCATCTAAAAATTTAATTAGCGCTAAGATTTAGCTTTTGGACACTCCCAGAAAAATAGGCTGTACCACATTACATTGACAGGTAATGATATTCTGGTGAAAAAATTTCCACAAAAACTGCTTTGTGTTAGGGGGCACAAGGGCTGACGTTTTTGGGAGGAGCAGCTTTGTGTGAACTTGCAGATGCTTAAGCTGCCTGTTTGCGCCTGGCCAGTTCAGTTGCCATTTCCTCTTGGGGTTCTAGTAGGTACAGTCGGGGACAAAAGTCTCCAGAACACGCAAGCTGCGACTGAAACGCATTGCTCTGCCATCTGCCTTCGGGTCGCCTGGTTTCGAGATCACAGAAGGGCGCATGTGCGTCCTATTGTGCCTGCCAACGTGTGCGCTTTCCCGCTCTGCTGCGGCGCGGCGCTTAGCTCGGAATCGGGCGCGTGGTACCACTTCGGAGATAGTGCTTACTGACATGGCACCTATAAAGCAAGAAGTCACGGCAGCTCAACTAAGCGATAAGCTGAACTGGTTATAAAGCAAGGTGCGCTGACACGGCGATATGCGGCGCAATGCCCCAGGCGGTATCTCGAGTTTCGGAATGTATAGCAGACGCTCGTCAGCCGCCAGCGCTATCTCCGAGGCGGTACCATGTGCCCGATTCCTAGTTAGGTACTGTACCGCAGAAGAGCAGGAAACACACATGTTTGCAGGCAGAGTAGGACGCGCATGCGCTTTTGTGTGATCTCGAAACCAGGCGACCCGCCGGCAGGTGGCAGAGCAATGTGTTTCAGCCGCAGCTAGCACGTCCTGGGGACTTTTGTCCCCGACTGTACATTTGTGATCATGAATAAATAAATTGGTCAGGAAGCAATGGCAGCTGATGCAACATCAATGCAAGCCATGTATTATATGACTCGCATGAATTGACATTGAATGAGCCACGATTGTGCGCCAAAGTTTGTGCTGCGGAGTGCAAGAGTATGGCGCTCTGTTCATTAAATGGACAGAAGCGCCACCAAAGGACTAACACTCAAGCGTGATCTTTTTGCACCGAGTATTTCTCGAAGTGCAAGTCGTTTCTTCGCACTGACAGAAACGCCGCCGAGACGAGGAGTGCAGTGGATCTCTGCCTCATTTCAGTTGAAGAATGCTTAACCCAGCGAGTAAAATGATTTGATTTCAAAGCTAGGACCCTTACGGAAAAGGTTTGTTCCCGAATCTCACCTGAAAACGAATTACCTATCGAACAGTATGATGGTGCAGAACAGAAAAGTTGTCGGGATGAGAGGACAGTCCGATCGCTGCCCTTTCTAGAATGCACAGCCCTGCGAATAAAGATACTTCGATTGAAAAGCGAAAACGTTGCGGAAAAAGTTTGTCCATGCATCTCGCCTGAAAACTAATTAATGTGCTATTTATTGGACGGTGGTGTGCCAGTATTGGAGTAGCACATCGACAGGTTCCGTCTCGCGCTGGAAGACGGAAACCCAAGATATCTGACAAGTTTGAGAGTTTCTTGTTTTGACAAGCGGGTTCAAGAATGTTGTCTTTCATTTGAATCTAAACAGCATGCATGGTCAATAAATAGATCGGTCAAAGTAACATTCAGCATTTCTGGTCAAAGCGAGTCTTCAAACCTTTCACAAATATTAAAGCCTTCTTAAAAATTTCCTAACGTCGCCGCCCATTTCTTTTCTATTTTTTTGTGCTTTTACTTTACCGTTTTACAGAGCCCTTAATTAATTTATCTTCAAAATAATTTTGGCATCCGCGAGATGTTGGGTTCGTCATAAAACTGTGGTCGGAAGTGGCTCATACAGCTCGCCGACAGTTTCGGTGTGTTGCGCTACTGTACGCTATGCTTCGTTTAGTTGCTGCGCTCGGAGTGTGAAACTCGGAACGGTAGAGTACGAGTAAATTAGCGTGGGCTTAAGGCACAGGAGCAATGGCGGCTTGTAGGGTGCCATATGATGTCACGTGCAATGCAGTTTAGTCCACACGTTCAACTGAAGTATTAGCCCATGCATTCATCTGCCTAGCTTGGTGCCCCATATAAGCAGTCTAGAATATTCACTTTTAATTACAGTCGCATTAAAAAAGAAAGAAAACGGCGATTGCTTGTGGCTACGTCGCCATTTGGGATGGTAAAACATACACACTCACCCGTCAGTTTGAGGATCTCGGCGTCGTAATAGCCTCCTCGAGTGTTCGCGTCGCCGTCCCAAGACAACTTGTACGCCGTCCTACGCTCGAAGTCGACCACATTCGAAGGATTGCAGTTTTTAAATAAAGCCCTGTGGACGTCGCTTATTTCTCCGTTCTCGCAAAATCGAGTGAAACCTACCGAAATATCTAAAACCTCGAAAACACTCCACGAGGAAGGGTGAGGCAGCCGAGGCAACAAAGCGCACGAAACATCTGGATTTGGATTTGGATTCGAAGCTTTTGAAGACGCAGTTGCTGAAACGGATATAAGCGGCGAACGTTTTTCAAAATATAAAGTATGCGTTAAAATTAACGGATCGTCGAGTGTCGAACACTGCGTATGAACTTGAATGAGAACATGTTTGAGAGAAATCTGTCAAGTGTCAACACTGCGTGTAAAGAAACCGGCGCCGCAAGTAGCCGATGCGTCGGCAGTAGCCGATCCATTAAAGACTAACTCATAATTTACGCGACCCTCGACAGTTCTTCGCCCGTGGCGCAGGGGTAGCGCGTCGGCATACGGGACGAGAGGTCGCTGGTTCGACTCCCCCCGGGACAACAAGGAAAACTATTTTTTGTGTGTGTTTTTTATTTTTATTATATCTATGATGGTGGTGGTGGTGGTGTTGTTGAAAACTTTAATTCAGTCTAAAACACCTGCGACGCTCCTTCGTTAACGACCGCCCTGGTCCAAAAGGGTTCTAGTGCAGCTGAATACTGAATAATGCGGGTTGTTCTACCTTTCGTGTCGCCGGTTTTAGTACCTTTCGTGACTCGACGTGTTTCCGCTCAAGAAGTTTGAAAGTCGTCTGAACGACAAGACATATAAGGTTTTTCCCTAATAAAAAAATCACATCAACCCATTGACCACGCGGCTGCGGCCTCTCATCATATATCATACGCGAGATTCAACGACAGCTTTTTTTTATCGCGACATAGCCTCAAATCGCCTATTTTGTAGCGTGCAAAGTTGCGGAGCCTCCTCGACTGGGGCTGCTCATTCAGCGAGGCGGTGGCGCATTTCCTCGACTATTTAACCTTCGAGCAAAATAAAGCAAAGCAATTGCCGCGCGGTCTGTTTGGAAGCTAAACTTGATTGCCGCCGCGACCCTCCGATGCGCACAACGGTTGCGGGGCTCGGGGGGTGCCGTGTCTATAAAAATTAATGTGTCGACTACAAATACGAAAAGTTTTCGAATACGAAAAGTCTGTCGACCTTCCGTTGGTAATGTAAGGCGTAGGTGAAGCATATGCGAAACGTTGAACCCTACCGTGAGTACGGGTTTCCACGGTGCGTGATTGCAGACGAACGCACAGTTGCCTTTGAATCGGGGACTCAGTGAGTAAAGACAAATCGCGTAACATAGTTGTGTCAGCACCTCGCGAGCCCGCGACTCATCACATGCTGGCAAATATGTCGCGACCCATATATCAATTGTTATTAACGCCTCTGACGGCGCCGTCAGAATACCGCGAGCAACAATTAATGAAGCACTTTTTATAAACATTGTGCGCAAAGAAAGTCTCGACGGCCGAGAAATAAGGCGCTTTTGATGGAACCGAAGTGAAACAAAACTTCTGACGATCATTAGACCACCTCTGATGGCCCATCAAGAGTGTCCAACAGACCA